TACGACGTATCAACAACTATTAAAATACTTTCGACCATAGGTATGTATTAACAATGATATCGAAACGCCAAAAGCGTGAAATGGTAGATATATAATGAGAATTGATACGAATATTATTTATATATAGTATTGATTTTTCGGTTGATAAATTCTAAAACCATTTTTGAACAGAAAAAACAAACCTAATCGAAATTCGGGTCGGACAATCACTTGGTATACAAGTGTATGCACTCATAATTCTATCAGGCGATTCATTTAAGTGGGCACACTCATCATCTGGGAAAGTATTAATTTTTTTCAGACTTTGTTTTCTAGAACATTTAAGAAAAACAAGCTGTTCCACAATTTTATAGTTGTGTTATATTTTGTCACCCTTATTTTCGGGGGCAAAACAAGTATCTACTTTTGATTTTCAAAAGGCTACCTATATTTAAAAAGTTCATAAATAGATGGAGTATTAGTTAAAATAAATTTGAGTGTTGAAATTTTTAGAAATGTGTCAAGTTGTTGACGAGATATTCCACTTTTAAGTTTGGGTTGAAGGAGAGTAGTAGTACATTATTAACACGCCGCCCGCCGTATCTCCACACACATGATACTCCACTACTCTCCTCCAACCAAAAGCTAAAAGTGGAATATCTCGTAAACGGATCGAAGAAATCAAAAATGTCAACACTCAAATTTATTTTAACTAATACTTTATCTATTTATGGACTTTCAAATATAGGTTGCCATTTAAAAATCAAAAGTTGATAGTGGTTTTACCCCCCATAAAATAAGGGTAAAAAAAATAACATAAAAAAAAATAAAATTGTGAAGTAGCGTGATTATTAAATGTTCTAAAAGAGAAATTCCCGAAAAAGTTAATACTTTCCGAGATAATAAGTTTACCCACTTGAATGAATCACCTGTTATATAAAGTCAGCAAATTGCTTTTTTTTGATTCGGTCGGTTTAATCAGGCCATCCGTTCAATTATGTGTTTTTTGTTCGTCGTGTTAATTTTATTTTTAGTTTAACAACTGAGCAACTGTTTTAGTTAAGTAATAATCATTTTAGGTAAAATTCTCGAAAAAAGACGTACAACACCAATAAAACTCTATAAAGAACCAATCAAATTTATTAACGATACATAACACGTACAGTGTACATGGCAACAATTATAAACGCAGGAGGATTATCGTGGAAATTTAGGTGTTATACAACCAAGGGAGTGTGAAGGACCCACTCTAAAGTGAATTGTATTATTTTATAATTCCGTTTCTCAAAAATATTTCTAGTCAAGCCACCAGATTGTATATTATATTATTAACGTAACATCGAAACTGAATAAATTACTCCCAATTTCAATAATTTATAAAAGTTGATAAAACTATTATACAAAATGTTTGTTATTCAGTAAACATAAAAAACTTAAAAACTGAAGTTAAACAATATTTAAATAACAGTTAAGTATTTTTTTTTTTTATCGAAAACAGAAATCAAATAATTTTATCATCACTTTTATCAATACCGATAGAATCATTCTATAAAAATTGTAGGTAAACATTATTATGACTTTATAAAAATGTTATCACTAATCAGTTATCAGTTATCATCTACGTCTCGTGTATGGAATACCGTTACGTTTGTAACAATATCATCAATATTATTATTCCATTTAATTATTGAAAAATTGAAATACAGATATTGAAAAAATACTCAATTAATTGAAAAACAAACGACTTTTACCTTTTGAATGCATAAAATTAGAAAATTTTACGTACCTATTCAAAAAACAAACAAATTAAGAGATTGTTCAGAATTTAAGAAATAACCGAGTTAAAATTTATCTACTAACGAATATAATTTTTATACCTAATTTTAATGATTTGCCAAGATGTATGTAACATTATGCATTACACAGAAAAACTAAAGAAAATACGATTATTATTATTTTTAATTCGGAACGTATTGAGGAATGTGTTGATTTTACAATGATTTTTTTTTTAGTATATATATGTATATATATAAATTATACTGCATACAAAAATTCCATCAGAAATCTCACTTTGATAATGCATTAAGTGTAGAATCTTTTATTAATTAAAAAAAACCGATAGGAAAATATGTTCACAACCAGTTATCTCTTTTGCAGAGTGAGATTATTATCAAAGTGAGATTTCTGATGGAATTTTTGTATGCAGTATAATTTATATATATACATATATATACTAAAAAAAAAATCATTGTAAAATCA